CCTCTCTCAATCACCTGGACTGCGAGTATCCCATCTAGACACAACCCTCTCTCAATCACCTGGACTGTGAGTATCAACCGGAATGAATTGGATTGATTGAATATGTCAGTACATTTGTAAGGCCTAATGTTTGAAGATGTCTGGTCACCACAAAATCTGTCATTCATTATGGTAAAATCATCAGTTTCCATACTTCCGGTCAGCGGTTGAAAATGAGAACACAGCATTAGACCAAGAATTATTTCTTTCAAATTTTCTCAAAATGAGCTGATATTTTTACTCATTTCCAAGAATACTCATTTTCTTAGGACGATTCTTTTAGATGCGTTTGAGTGCTGCATTAAAGTAGCTTCTCTTTGCGTTTGCCGATTGCAAACGACGCTTGACCGAGCAAGTGTCATTTTAATCGTTTAGCTATGGCTGTTCAGTATACCAGCAATTACAGTTTATACCGACATGAGTGAAAAACGTCTACGCACGCTGTAAGTCCGTATGTCCTATTCACATCGATGATATAGATATATTTTTAATGCAACATAATTTATAGCTTATATTGAGGGCCAACTGAAAATTTTCAGTTTGGTAAGAGTGAACCGCGGTTTTTAATTTTTGGAAAAAATGAAAGTAATATATTATCGAAATTGAAATGAAAAATAAGATTGGAATATGAAATAGGAAATTGCCGGAAAGTTGGGAGTTCTCTAACTAAGGTTTATCACAAGGACTGAAAGTCAAGTCACTCGGAATAAGAAAAATAACACACCAACCTTGGAGTTCCCCAACGTTCATCACTGGGACCTGAATTGTGCTTAAATATATACCACAGAATAGAACTGACTTCAGGACTCTTTTGATAGAAATATTTTAATTGGTAAGAACTTTGCTACATCTATATGAGATTTTTAATCAACTACGACAACAATAAGAAGGGGGAAAAAACATCCATCTATGTGATGTGCAAAGCCAGACTGGAAGCCTAAAAAAGGAACAAAAGAACGAATTAATGCTTTTGTCAGCAGCTACTTATTGTATTACATCTGTTTATGGCATCATTTCTACTCCACCAATATTTCACCAATACACTTAAGACAGAAGACATACCTTAAGCATCGATAGGAGGACCACATTGGTGGCAGTTACACTTGAACGTTTCCAAGCGAAGCCCTTTACAAGATCCATACTTGCCGCCTCCACACTTGCAGTATCGGGTACGAGCCTTGTACCCACATCCACAGGGCTTAGTACAGTCACTGTAAACCCACTCAGACCAGCAATCTGATCGTAAATTAAAGAGGAACGATCAGCCTTTCTTGCCCTTAATGTTTCATGACGATTTTTATGATAAAGCTATATAACCCTTAGCGGGATAGAGTGAAGAGAGTTGGGCAATAGAGGCATTGCACCATCACGTGATGGCAGCCATGACAGAAGCCAACAATAGAGTCTTTCTCTCCTGGGAAACTGAATTTCTCGTGTAAATCAGATTAGACCAGATTCAAATGTCCAGTGCCTTCTATCATGGCTAGTCTTCACGTAATGGTGCAAAGCCTTATAAACAATGCTTTTGGGTAGACAATTTTGCCATTCCACGTTACTTTATTACGGCCATGTTGGTCCCATTTAACAAACACAGTTCTCATTAACGCCATTGTTAACCCCACCAAGATGGTCGCCATGTTGTTTTTTTTTCTTTTGACTCTCTTGGGAATTAACGTTTACTGACTAATTGGCCGGTAATATCTCTTGTCAATAAACTGTTCCAAGGTAGTGTATTAAAATTAGGAGAAATCAGGTGGGGTGCACTTATCGTCAGTGATTTTTTATTGGTGATGTTGATTGAAAAGTAAGCAACTAAAATTAAGCCAAGTAACTAGTTGTTCAAATATAAATTTCAATTATTGTTGAGAATTTAAGGGGAAGAAAGAAAGAAAAAATAACCACACCTACCCGGAAAAAAAAAGAAAAGAAAAAAACCAAACAAACAAACAGTAATTGCGCGCTAAAAAGAACTAAGAGATATCATGGAAATTAAATAAAAAATACCCTATATATGAAAAAAAAAATTTTTTTTAAACTCGATTCTAATTTGCCATACCCCCGAGACATCCGCAGAGCTGAGGCGGCGTATGGACTTCGGACCTGACGGCGATTAAATCCTTCTGCCCTTGGGTGTACGAATTACGCAAGAAAATGTTCTAGCCGAAGCATCAGGGGAGAGACCAGCCGGCCCCCAGACCATATCGGCTAATCCCTTGCATCTCTGCCACGCACGGAATCGGTTGAAAATATAATGTTAAAAAGTCTAGTCTATCTGGTGGATTGTTTTCACTGTCTATTGTTATGCTGATTCCGTAGATTCGTGGCTTAGTGGAAAAAACGTGGGCATCGCCTCACTGATAGCGAGTCAAGCCCGTTAAGGTGGATATAGACTTGGATGGGTGACCTAAACATCACACCTACTCAAACTAACATTTGCTTTTTTTATTTGTTTTGTTTTTTAAATCTTTTCGTCATTACTCCGGCTTTTTCGATTTGAAAATACTAGAAATATATATATACATACGATATCGAACTTTTCTTTTTGTGTCGGCAATTGGCCATATTGTATAACCGATTCCTGTTTACAAAAATGTTGTATCTAGTCTCTAAGCGGCATCCACCTAGTGATTATTAGAAAATGGCGCGCGCCAATTGGTCGTGAACTTTGGACTATTTCTCTAAAATGACCTAACTGTAGTCCTACAGAGCCCGGTTGTACGAAGAGTGGATAGCACTATTCGTTAAATAATGTTTTATTCAACAGATAGCACTATTAATTCTTCGTTTAAACAGGTCCAGTTGAATATAGGAATGCGCACGCGCCGTTTGTTAATGCGTGTTAATAGACGACTTGCACTAAGAGAGCACGTGTTTAAGACCGCCATTGTGGCTGGCATTCTACAAGATTTTAGCTATGCAAAAATGTAAAAAAGATGGCGGATTAAGGGTAGTTTTTTGGCGATGAAAGGTAATTTAGCGCAACTAAATAGCGATAAAAATCCCTTTTTCTTGCAAGAAATATATTCTAAGTAGATATCTAAAGCAGATTTTGTGCTATTAACTCGCCAAGAAGAGAAAAAATATGGTATTTTTTGCGATACGAAGCGAAAAACTACGAAATACGACAAATATAAGTTTTAGAATAAAGTGATGTCTATTTTCTTTCAAATATCGCCTGTGTAATGATACTAAGACTCGCGGTTTGGTATTCTTTTATTGCAAGATACGTCATCGCGGCCATGTTGGTGCCATTTAACAAAAGATTTCTCATTAGTACCCATTGTGAACGGCACCACAATGGCCGCAATGCTTTTGTCTTTTGACTCTCTTGGGAATGCTTGCAATCCATCAATAAAGATTCACCGATAATCAGCTCATTAAATAGTCGTAACATGAAACATTATACAGAAAATATCGTTACCTTGTTGAGTGGGTTTGGGTCCCTCGGTCGTTGGAGGATGGGTTTTGGGTGCTTGCGTCGGTGCACCTGGAACGCCTGTATCAGTAAAGAACACATTTATAACATACACCTACTTGTAAGAATGTTGTCATACGAGAATAGAACATTTGTAATTTAGTAAAATAGTGATTTAGTAAATTTATCAATTTGGAATAAATTATCATAGACGTCAGACTCGAATTCATCAGTAAGGAAAAGATAATTTTGGACGACATGATGTAACCGGCATGCAGATGAAGGTATAATAGGTTGACATATAACAATACTAAAAGAAAAATACTAGTTTCCCTTCAGACTGGGAAAACTAACGTAACTAAAACTACGAATTCTAGCACTGCCTTGCGTTTCTGATCTGTTAGTATGATCTGATTGGGTGACCCGAGTCGACGTCAGTGATAATTTATTCCTAATCGGTAAATTTACTAAATCACTAATTTTCTAAATTACAAATGTTCTATTCTTGTATGACAACCTTCTTGCTAGTAGATGTATACATGGAGCATATCACTAGTTGAATTTCTTGGATCTCGGTTATATGGTTATTCTAAGTTTCAATCAGTTCATATAAATCTTTGAATCTTTTGCAAATGGCGATCAAACACTAACCACCATGTGCTGTCAGCCACAAAGAATTCTATTGGCTATAAGTTGAATTTGGTTTTGACTTGTAACTCAATGGACCGGCTTTATCACACGGCGTCACGCATGCGTAACCGTCATACTGAAGCACTTGAATGCGAGGCCACGAGGGGAAAATCCAATGTTCTAGTCAACATGTCTCTTTTCTCATTCGGTAAACACCACCATAACTAAAGTCTCATACAGTACAGGCGTAGCCTCGCTTGATATAAGAGCAAATTATTAGAAAAAGCCAACTGTAATGTAAAGAATGTGCATCGACTGCGAAACTGATGCATTCCTACCTCTAAAGCAGTAAACGTCGTTGGCAAACTTCCCTCCATTTCCGTTTTTACATTTGTCAGGACACTCGCCATATTTATTATAGGTTTGGTGAGCATTAGGACCTGACCAGCACTCCCTACCATTTTGTACACCAAAGCACTTGTACTTGTGGCTGGAGGCCAACTTGGCACACTTGGCTACTGCGCCGCTGTAGTATGAGAGTTTCTTTAAGAATACTGGCATAGCTCTTGACCTTGAGTCACCGAAACAACCTCTGTGGGTGTAGTCTAGAATTTGGAGGGAGGGTTAATTAGTATTAACTAAAGATTATATGTGTCTCTAAAGGTCATTTGCATCAAATGGTCACGCGCTGATATCTCACTTTGATAACGAATCAATTCAGCCCAATAAGCCCTTTGCAGCACGTTGGAAATTAGCTTAATTTGGAGGACATAACAATACGTTTTCAATTCTAAGGAAATTGAAATTCTATTGTTTTGGCCTCAGTGGCGGATTCAGAGGTGGTAGTATAGGTGACTAATCACTCCCTTTTGCTAAAATTTCTCAGTATATCGTTAGTAACAGTCACCCCCTTTTCTTCGCGTTCCTGGTATAACCTTTGTAATAGTCACCCCCCCCCCCCCCCTTCTTAAATTCCTGGGTCTGCCCCTGGTCCTCCAAATTGAGCTGCTTTGACGTCGCTAGAAAGGGGTCTACATATTGATATTGTCATCTTACTCAACAACGCACTTCTTCTACGGCACGTGAAATTATGAACAGACACAATTGTACACTTACGGATGCACTCTGTCAGATGGCATGTCCTGACATCTCTAGATTTTCCACTACAGCCTCTTCCTCCATAAGATGGTTTTGGTTTCGTACAATATCTTCGACGAACCTGAAGTCCGGATCCACAGGTCTTTGAGCATTTGGACCATGCACTCCAACGCGACCACCCTCCATTAACTAAATCCCAAAACACGAAAATAACATCAGTAAATCTTCATTTATTTGGTGGTCGTCAACCATTGCCAAGAGGATCAAAAGACAAAGACATGGCGGATATGCTGGTGAACAGGGAAAAAAGGTCTGGCCCTAATGGGAAGTCTTTTGTTGAATCGCGATGCATTTTATTATGCTAGGTGCCTGCGCAATTGCAAGTAGAATGAAGATCTTCTTGATCCATCACGTTGCGCACATAAAAATCGTGCAGTTTATTTACAATAGTGTGAACAATTTATGATATGCCCATCTTGAAATTATCTTGGATGTGATCTGACAAAATACGGACAAGAAATACAACAAATTCCAAATACGATTACTTTTCAAATAATCTTTACTTCCATCCAAGATAATTTTGAAAGGGATGCATCGTATTTAGAATGTTGCTACTTTGGTATGCTATACTTTTCCAACATGAATTACCTGTACAGCGACGTTGAATAACAGTCATGTACTGTTTGCTAACCCCATAACAGCGGCGGCCATTGTTGGCTGGACGCGGATTGGTGCAAGATCTTGTACGGTACTTCAGCCCGATGCCACATGTTTTTGATGGAGCAGACCATTTAGACCATTTGGACCAGCCACCATTAACTAATAAAGACGGGAAGAAATTACAGTTATATGTTATAAGATAGGAATACGTAATTACCTTCGATGATGGCAGTACACTTAAATTAAATTAGGGTGTCAGGGTTTCATGGTATCAATACAATTTTGAAAATCACAGAAAAGAGGCTAGGAACTTATTATTCCTAAATCACTCCCGAAATCATTCTAACATTTGTGACCAGAACGGGAAATTATAAAAAAGTCACACTTTTACTAAAAGGAGTTTTTGCTCTTTTCATCTTTCTACTTTTTAGTTAGCCTCGCATCGATCCTAGATGCTTTTGCAACGGGTCCATGGAAAATGAAAGCGCACAAGATAGTCGCACGCTCTACCTGGACAACGTCTTCTGATGTAGCATTTTTGACTTTGCCTACTGATACCATAGCAACGACGCCCACCATAGGACGGGCGGGGATTGGTACATGATCTTGTGCGATACTT